TGGTGACCATGATGAGAAGGTGAACAACAGGCAGGTATTACATTGGTGACTATGATGAGAAGGTGAACAACAGACAGCTATTACATTGGTGACCATGATGAGAAGGTGAACAACAGACAGGTATTACATTGGTGACCATGATGAGAAGGTGATCAACAAACAGGTATTACATTGGTGACCATGGTGGAAGGTGAACAACAGACAGGTATTATATTGGTGACGATGGTGAAAAGGTGAACAACAGACAGGTATTATACTGGTGACTATGGTGAATTGAGCTGAGATGGTTAAGGTAATCGAAACACTGAATATACCTGCTAGTGAAGAAAACACAATAAATGTGGTTCCTGCTTCAGCAGTGATCCCTCCATCTTCCAAGGATTTTTTTCTTGGCAAGAAGAGGGTATGGAACATTAAGGACGCGAAGAACCCAGCTATGATACTCAGTGTCACACTGGCGAATGTGGGTACGAGAAATACAACAGCCTTCATACACCTAGATGTTAGCTGAAATTAGAGATAGTGTCAATATCTGTATTAAGTCAGTGATGTTATAACGCCTTTGTCACACACTATCATCACCTTTGCGATTTGTTCAAAAGTGTCTTGTTCAATAGTGTCGGTGTCTTTTGTTGGATTTGAGTGTACTACCAAAGCATAAGTCATCTATATATATTGTTTACTGGGTTATGTTTATACTCAATACTCAAACTCATCGTTTATTACATAAAACCTTCAAAATAAACGTTTATCTTCTAACCTGAAGTTAAAACATCACAGGGTCAATCCTAAAAGAACCCTTTGAAACCTGTACATTAAGAATACAATACAAGAGTACAATTTCCGTCTTACCGTAAGTGGCGCGTTTATTGCTTGAATGTAATAATAGGCTGGATTAGTTTCAGTAATAACTGCATAGTCGTTGGCTTCCGACTGGTTTTCTTCAATGGCTTGATGGTCAGAGGTTAGGTTGGTGTCGTCAATGTAGTCGTACTCAGCAGATCCAGGGTCGTTGTTGTCTGTGCCAGCTGCACATTTGAGTTCGTCAATGGTAGCGTACCCAGCATGCCTCTCTTCTACCAAATTATCTTGTCCTTCAGGAATGATGTCATCACAATATTCAGCTGACATTGTCGTTAATGTCAAAGTGATAAAAAGTAATATATCGGCTATTGGCAGCGAGACCTAATGTAGCTGACCTTACTCAGATGCAATGGCCTACAAGATGAAGTGGTTGCGTTGTGTTTCAGTTTGCAGTTCCTTGTTCAATATCGTACCCAGATACGATCTTAGTAATCTAGCAATGGACAGAGTAGTGAGTGAGCGAATTTAGGTTTACTACACAGAGTCCACACTCAGCAATATTTCATCATATGGCGGCGGTCTGTAAATAATCAAGTCTGGACCAGACAATCCAGTGATCAACAGCATGAGCACCGATCTACGCAACTAGGATACGATGACATGTGTCAACCAAATCAGCGAGACTGACCACCCGCATCTTACGACAACCATTGCTTACTGAAGATCAATTCTAACTCCGATCTTCAATGGACGGAGTAGCTTGAGAATACGTCTCCTCTGCATTTCGTTCAGCCACAAAGCGACGAAAACAAGTTTATACAAAGACACAAATCCTTAAAAATACAAGGCATATTTACAAGACAATTTGTTATATACGTTTTCACATAACAACATTGTATGAAGCAGTGTAAAACACGTGCTATAAAACACCAGGGACCTTATTCTCGAAACGTTCGTAGCCCTAAGAATTCTTAACTTTGATCGTAGCCAATGTGTTAAGAATGGGCTTAAGACGTTCGTAGGGCTACGAACGTTTCGAGAATAGCTAGCCAGCAAACAAAGCTAGGTCACATCCCGGGCATCAGACAGATGAAACCTGTTTCCTGCCGTATGAGACAGTAGTTCAGTGAGATGTGTTCATCATTCTGATAGTATTCATAATGGTTTCATATTTAGTAAAAGTTAAGGAAGTATTAAATAAATGACTGAAACCTTATTTAGGTGAGTCATAGGAATTAGATAGGTGAGGTTAGGTGAAATGGGGTTCAACGTCGTACCTAAGAATATTTCGCTCATATGACGACGTGCATGCGGGTGTATGTGCGGTAGCTTGTACTAGCCCAGACTTAAGCTGGAGATACCATGCCGCAGTGAAGCATGAATACCCCACTCAGACACATTATACTGACTCCGAGCCAACCAGTCCATTTGCAAAGACAGCAAAATCAGGATTTAAAACACGAACGCTGTTTTTCCGTCTATAAACTTCCGGTATCATTCGAGCATTGTGAAAGTACATAAATAATTCAGTACAACATGAAACTACATGAGCACATTGTCTTAAGCAGTTGTTAACTGGGGTGTAATAACTAATCTCCAGTTTGGCTTGTGCGGCGTTCAAAGCCCCATGTCTTCACGTACCAATAATGTGTTGGTTATGTGGCAATGTAATTCATTGTATAACAATGCTGTAATGGTTATTAAACACAAAAGATATACCATCAAAAGTAAATATTTATTCATTTACAACCATAAAAGTAAGTATATCTTCATTTACCATCATAAAGGTAAACATGTATTCATTTACCATCATAAAGGTAAATATGTATTTATTTACCATCATAAAAGTAAGTATATCGTCATTTACCATCATAAAGGTAAATGTGCGTTCATTCACTATCATAAAAGTAATGTATGCATTCATTTACCATCATAAAGGTAAATATGTATTTATTTACAATCATAAAAGTAAGTATATCTTCATTTAACATCATAAAGGTAAATATGTATTTATATACAATCATAAAAGTAAGTATATCGTCATTTACCACCATAAAGGTAACTATGTATTTATTTACCATCATAAAAGTAAATATGTATTTATTTACAATCATCAAAGTAAACATGTATTCATTTACAATCATAAAAGTGAACATGTATTTACTTACCTTCATAAACGTAAACATGTATTTACTTACCTTCATAAACGTAAATATGTATTCATTTACCATCATGACTGACTGACTGAGTTTGGTTTTACGCCGCTCTTTAGCAATATTCCAGCAATATCACGGCGGGGAACACCAGAAATGGGCTTCACTCATTGTACCCATGTGGGGATTCGAACCCGGGTCTTCGGCGTGACGAGCCAACGCTTTAACCACTAGACTACCCCACCGCCCCCATTTACCATCATGAGCTCATAAACCCATATGTTAGCTACCAACACATCTCACGAAAACCACGTGCATAATGAATAATAAGAAAACCACTTGTTGCATGGTGTTAACGAATAAGTGTTCCATTTGTTCTCTAAAACTTACAAGGTATTTGGGAAAATAGCCGAGTGAGAATGCAGTATATCATGATCACATGCTATTTATAAAGTGGTCTAATGCAATCTTTAGAATTACACTTTCTCAGTGAAGTGCAGATTCTAGCATTTTTCTAGGGTTGAGTCCCATCCGGGATTTGAACCCACACCCTCAGAGTCAGGCACCTAATCGCCAGGGTGTCCTCCCAAAACTTCTACAGCTTAAAACAACAAAGTTTATGGTGCACTGCACCACTAATCTGGCTATTACCTGTTGGGCATGGATAGGAACAGCCCAAATAATTAGGTGTAGGAGTTTTGGCACTTCTCCAGTTTGACAATTTTATATTTTATTTCTCTTCTAAGTACTATACAACAAAACATAAACTAAAATAACATATAATGAAGACAATTTATTTCAAACACTTTACTCATAAAGCACTGGTATAAATGAATAGTACACTCACTTTTTGCACTGACCCATTCAGCCACCACGGCTTCCACAAAATCGAAATTTGAAATATTTAAAATTAACTAAAAAAGAAACAAAATACAATAAACTACGGTTATAACGAACTTAAGGGAACACCAATCTTACTTCGTCATAAACATTGTTTGTTAATTTAAATAGTAAATGGCTTGGGTCACATACAACTGATCGTTTGACGCGTGTTGGTAATCGAAATTACAAAAACATAATCGGAGTAACGAGAACAACTTTAGTCTTCGAAATTTCGAAACAATACACAGATACCTGAAATAACAAGAAATGTTGGTGTAGAAAAGTTGAAGTATGCTTAAAACAACTAAGAATTACTTAAAAACGAACAAATAGTAATTTCGAAAAAAGAGAATATTTGAAATAAAAGCTTAAAGAAATGATGTGGCAGCATTATGTCTCTGTAGAATCCCACTGGAAAGGTAAAACCTAATGTGCAAACACAAGGAGTGAGAGAGTGAGTATGGTTTTACACCGCTTTTAGCAATATTCCAGCAAGATCACAGTGGGGAACACCAGAAATGGGCTTCACACATAGTACCAATCTGGGGAATCGAACCCGCGTCTTCGGCGTGACGAGCGAACGCCTTCACCACAAGGCTACCCCTCCGCCCCAAAACACAAGGATCAAAACTGGAGTCACTTGATTTTTATGTCAACAAATAAGATTGCCCGACTAAACAATTTACAGCAAAACTGGGAGTAACTTGTTTGAGTGGCATTTAGAAGTTCCGTGTAGCTACGAACACCGTTATCAAGCAAGTGTTAACATATATGAAACAATGGACCTGTTTCTTAACATATATGAAGCAATGGACCTGTTTCTTAACATATATGAAGCAATGGACCTGTTTCTTGGTTGGTTTGTTATTTTACGCCGCTCTCAGCAATATGTCAGCTATATGGCGGCGGTCTGAAAATAACCGAGTCTGGACCAGACAATCCAGTGATCAACAGCATCAGCATCAATCTACGCAATTGGGAATCGAGGACATGTCAACCGAAATTGACTGACTGACTCACTACTCTGTCTATTGCTGACTACAAAGGTCGCGTCCGGGTACAATATACGTAACATAGAGTTACCATTGAGTGTAATAAATGAATATTGACCCAGAAACTGCAAACTGAAACTTCCGCCAAACACAACACACCGCAACTGAAGCCCATCACAATAAGCGAGGTCAAGTAGATCAGGTTTTGCTGCCAAAAGCTTATATCACTTTGACAATACCGACAATGTCAGTTGAATCCCGTGATGACATCATCCATATTCCTGAAGGACAAGATAATTTGGAAAGAAACAGGCATGCTGGGTACGAAACCATTGACAAAATTAAATGTGCTGCTGGTAGTCATGCTGGCACAGACAACAACGACCCTGGATCTGTTGAGTACCACTACATTGACGACGCCAACCCAACCTCTGACCATCCAGCCGTTGAAGAAAACCAGTCGGAAGTCAACGACTATGAAGACATTGCTGGAACTAACCCAGCCTATGATTACATTCAAGCAACGCACGAGCCACTTACGGTAAGACGGAAATTGTACTCTTGTATTGTATTCTTAATGTACAGGTTTCAAAGGGTTCTTTTAGGATTGACCCTGTGATGTTTTAACTTCAGGTTAGAAGATAAACGTTTATTTTGAAGGTTTTATTTAATAAACGATGAGTTTGAGTATTGAGTATAAACATAATCCAGTTAACAATATATAGATGACTTATGCTTTGTCAGTAAACTCAAATCCAACGAAAGACATCGTAACTATTGAACAAATCCCTAAGGTGATGATAGTGTGTAACAAAGGCGTTATAACATTACTGACTTAATACAGATATTGACACTATCTCTAATTTCAGCTAACATCTAGGTGTATGAAGGCTGTTGTATTTCTCGTACCCACATTCGCCAGTGTGACACTGAGTATCATAGCTGGGTTCTTCACGTCCTTTATGTTCCATACCCTCTTCTTGCCAAGAAAAATATCCTTGGAAGATGGAGGGATCACTGCTGAAGCAGGAACCACATTTATTGTGTTTTCTTCACTAGCAGGTATATTCAGTGTTTCAACTACCTTAACCATCTCAGCTCAATTCACCATAGTCACCTATGTAATACCTGCCTGTTGTTCACCTTTTCACCATCGTCACCAATGTAATACCTGTCTGTTGTTCACCTTTTCACCATGGTCACCTATGTAATACCTGTCTGTTGATCACCTTTTCACCATCGTCACCAATATAATACCTGCCTGTTGTTCACCTTTTCACCATGGTCACCAATATAATACCTGTCTGTTGTTTACCCTCTTATCATGGTCACCAATATAATATCTGTCTGTTGTTCACCTTTTCACCATGGTCATCAATGTAATACCTGTCTGTTGTTCACCTTTTCACCATGGTCACCAATGTAATACCTGTCTGTTGTTCACCTTTTCACCATGGTCACCAATGTAATACCTGTCTGTTGATCACCTTTTCACCATCGTCACCAATATAATACCTATCTGTTGTTCACCTTCTCATCATGGTCACCAATATAATACCTGTCTGTTGTTTACCCTCTTATCATGGTCACCAATATAATACCTGTCTGTTGTTCACCTTTTCACCATGGCCAGCACTTTTATTGTTGTCTGTTGTTCACGTTGTTCACGATAGAGTAGCTGTTAACGCCTGACATGCTAATTATGTCTACAAAGACACTACATGTTGTCATATTTGCTCTTAGTCATCAATAGTTGCCCTTCTGTCACGTATTTCAGCTGCTTCCTGTGGGCCGCTCATGATCAGATTTGGCTTCCGGAAGGTTGCTCTAGCCGGAAGTGTTCTGCTCATCTGTTCCTCTCTCTCGTCGTCAGTGACAACCACAGCCGATAACCTATCTTTCCTATTCGGCATCATGGGAGGTCTGTGAAAATCCTTAATAGATTGTTGTCTCTATTTAGAGCTGTTTTCAGACACACATTAGATCGCCAAAACAAAAGAAAACTTAATATCAAGGTGATTTTTCTTTGAGCGTTCTGTTTAGGGCCTAAGTTGGGAATGAGTATACACCTTACACGTAACGCTGTCATTTGTAATAATTTTTAGAAGAGTATTTTAAGTGTGAATATTTTAAAGGCAGTTGAGCAATTCTCGCCCACAATGACGCAGTCCCTCTCTCCCTCCCTCAGATGTAGTTAATTGTGAAAGTAATACTATGTTATGGAATCAGCTGAATCTTTCATTGTAAAATATCCTGTTCGGTGCAATCACTTGGAATTTTTGTCAAACATTCTGGACTTGTCAGCCATTTTGAATTATTTAAGCTATCGACTACACACAAAGTACATTTACTAATAATTTGTCTGATATTACTTGACCTTGATGAAGTCCTTACACAATGTTTGTCAGGACTTGCTGTGGGTCATCTCCGGACTCTGGGTGTTGTGGCTATCGTCGACCAACTCTACACTCGCCAAACCCTAGCCCTTATTGTCAGCCATACTGGCTTCACCCTTGGGAACGTTGGGAGTATTTTCGGACTCCAAAGATCTGACTGGCACATCGACAGGAGAGTGTTTGAGATGACTGCTGTAATAGGACTGATCGCCGGTTGTTGTCTTCAGAGGACCTCCCAGGCACAGAAGAATGTGTCCATGCTGTTCAAACACCCACCGTTTTATTTCCTCATCTCGATCACACTTGTCACATCTGTAGGTAGGTTTTCAAATGCATCTGTAAACTTAAATCAGGGAGTTCGGGTAAAACAGATCTTGGAGGCACACCAAACTGATTTCTAGATTAACGTTCCTTTTCTATCACCACCTGCTCGTCTTTGAGTCAATAACAAGATTCCTCAAATATTGCTGCTTTGGATGTTTAATCTTGACATTTATCTGGATATTTATAATCAATGTAACAAATACCAAGGGTTAACGAAAGTAAATATACACAAAGAACTTAATTAAGCACCCCCTATATTTTTGCAATGATTGGTTTTCAACACGTACATAAAACTTCTCACGGTGACCACGATGGATAAACATGCGTTTTTTCTGACCCGTATGATCCTTTAAGTCATAAAAAGCGACAAAATGATTGGATTCCATGTTGATTTTATGATGATAACTACTCATTTATAAAAGAACCCAAAACACTTTTCATACAAAACCATATCTGTACAAGTATGGCCCTGGAATGTTTAATGTTGAATTTATTGGTGAATGTGAACATTCGAGATGTCATTTCGCGTGTCTTACACGATTCAAGGTCAATACCAAGTGTAACCTCTATGTGACTGTATGCCAGCCAGAATTCCCCTCCTCATACTCCTCTGAAGGGGCAGTTTACACCATTCCTCAAGTAAAGCAGCCTCCAATTGTGTGTGCAAGGTTCTGTACAGGAGGAACCCTTTGCTGCACACGACGACCAATCATGTCCCAGATATGCTCCAAAGGTGTAAGATTAGGACTCATTCAATCGTGAGATATGGTGGGGGTGCTTAACTAAGTTATTTTTGTATATATTCTAAGTCTTACCAACTATTCGAACGTTATCGGTACAAAATCTCAGGCCAACTATGCACAAATGCACCAGACCTATTTCGTGACAGCATTATATAATTCATAGCTTTGTCGTATAAGCATATACTTATGTTGTTGTATAAACATATACGGATGATGTTTCTTGTGTGATAACAAGCATATACTTATGTTGTTGTATAAACATATACGGATGATGTTTCTTCTGTGATAACAAACATATACTTATGTTGTTGTATAAGTGAGTGAGTGAGTTAATATTTAACGTCACATCGGCAATATGTCAGCCGTATAGTGACGATGTTGTATAAACATATACGGATGATGTTTCTTGTGTGATAACAAGCATATACTTATGTTGTTGTATAAACATATACGGATGGTGTTTCTTGTGTGATAACAAGCATATACTTATGTTGTTGTATAAACATATACGGATGATGTTTCTTGTGTGATAACAAGCATATACTTATGTTGTTGTATAAACATATACGGATGATGTTTCTTGTGTGATAACAACACTCATGGTTGCACTTCTGTTTTACAGGGTTGTCAATCCTTCAGGCAGAAATCATCATCTTCGATTACACTGTCTTTATCTTCGTCAGTCAGCATCTTGTGCTGGGTGTCCTGGTTATCATCTGGATCTTCCAGAAGAAGAAGCTGAAAGAGTCATATCTTTTCTCGATGGGGATACCGGTCGTAGCTCTCGGTCTAGTTGCCATGGTCCCCAAGGATGTCTTTTACAATCGTGGAGCTTTAGTGGCCTCTTCCTTGTTGCTTGGAGCTGTTGTAGGTGAGTAAACCAACGAGTCTTCCTCCCATAATTTATGCACTCACAACGTATTCTTGAGTTTTAAGGCAAAGTCGTCTTAGACCCTGTAGTTGTAGTAAGTCGCCTGTTCGTGACTGCAGCTTTGTGCAACGGTGCACAAGCACTCTGGGGAAGGACTGTGCTCTCGGTGGAGAACCCGGGCACTCTCCTGATCTGCGCCAAGAGATCAGGAGGTACCAAACCAATCTACCGAGAACAATGGGGAGCCTGACGACAGAGTACTTGGGATGCAAGTGAGACATTTCAAAGGCGAGGTCCGCATACTTAGCATGCTTTTCCTGAATCTTGCCAATCACGTTGCTGTCAAAAAGGGACAGAAAATTCAATGATGTAAATAAATTCATTGGCTTTATCAAAAAGAACAAGATCAGGTTTGTTGGCAGGAATTCTTCTGAGGCTGTATATGGGCCTATTCCACTGAAGTTTGAAAGCATCATGTTCCATGACGCACTGGACATGTTCAGGGTCGTGCCATGGATGGACCTCGGAGTGAAAGCAACAGGCATGGCGGAGACATGCCATCATGTCTTTCAGATATGCTGTTTGCGCCAAGGAAGGGCATCCACTGACAAGGTGTTGGAGAGTCATTGCACAATCGACATTTCATTCAAATATTTTCTTTTAGAATCATATTTTGGCGATTGCGAGTGGAAAGTGACTGGTCCTGAGTTGCAATAATAATAATAATAATTATTATTAAGGTAAACCGATTTAGATATAGAGTGTGAGGGGAACCGTTAAGTGTTAGGGAAAAATAATTTGCTGTGTGGACTTGCGTCCCTTAGGGGTGCCAGGTACCTACGATCATGGTTACGTAAGTTCTTCGAGTGGCATTTAGGCGCTGGTTTGATGAAAAGGAACAGCTATTTATGGAAAGACAACGTCTTTATTGCCAATAGATGCGACGTTTCGGTGCATAACCCTATTATCTAAACGTCGCATCTATTGAAATGTAGGAAGTTGTCTGTCCACAAAACTTTTCCTCTTCGTGGCTTCATAAGGTTTGAAGGTTGTCATCTTCTGATTTATATTCATTCTCCAGCGTTGTCTCAAGTCATGTTGGCGTTAGCTTTGGTGAACACTACAGGCAGAAAAAACCTGAAACTGTCTCTCCCTCTGCTGGTCTGCCTTGACGAGATGGGACGAGTTATCGGCGGCTCCATCCAGGGTAGGTTGAGTTGTGTTACTTCAGTTTCATTTTGGCAAACCTGTAAGACTGACAACAGTGCCACAACGACAGGGGCGAGATGTGTCCAGCACAAACAAATATAATAAATTCCTGAAAGATATCATCAATATAGTTTGAGATATCTTTTATTAGATGCAACATATGATCATTTCTGACTATCACTGATATCAAAATCAAACTAAAACTATAAAGATATGTTGAAGATATCCTTATATGAACGGTCCCAAAAATGGCTTGTTCTTGACAACAGAAGTGATCATCCATTTTTGAACCATTCTTGTACCTATTTAGAGTGAGTGAGTGAGTTTAGTGTAACGCCGCAATAAGACAACTGTATGGCGGCGGTCTGTCTGGACCAGACAGTCCAGTGATCAACAGCATGAGCATCGATCTGCGCACTTGGGAACCGATGACATGTGTCAACCAAGTGAGCGAGCCTGACCACCCGATCCCGTTAGTCGCCTCTTACGACAAGCATGGGTTGCTGAAGATGAATATTCTAACCCGGACCTTCGCGGGTAACCTATTTAGAATTGACAGCACCACCATGACTGGAAACATTGCTCACATACTTCACAGACGGAAGCATAAGAGGATATCTAGAAACAGTCGGAAGTCTTTATAAATATCAGTAATTAATTAGCAAATAACAACTAATGTTGTTATTTATTTGCAAGATATCAGGAAATGAATTAATTTTTGCTTTGTTTTGTTATTTTGTCAGTTCCCAGCATTATTTTCAGTCATCGTTTTAATTCATTTTTATGATATCTTGAATATTATTGCAGATATCTAATATCAGTATTCATTCTTTAATTCATTTCAATATTTCTTAAATTAAACTAGTTTAACAATCTTGTGCTGATGGTTAAATCGTAAGTATACATGGAAAATATAATGTATGTTGTTCATCGTATGGAATTACAAACTAATACGGCTTTTGTAAAAATATCTGAGAAGCAATGTATTCATCAGCAAGTATATAGACTCAATCTTAAAATCAGTTGAAGATAGAAGTAATAATTTCATACAATTTGCGCAACATCTGTTTTATACAATTTGTTCCATCTGTTATATAATGATATACCAAACCTCCATTATGTTGTTCACATATCATGTCGGAACACAATCATTTCAACATGATGCTGGTGAGAATATCTTTGGTCCAAAACAATACTATAACACGGTATATTTTAACTTTTCAATGCCATAAACATCCAATATGAATATTGTTTGGCACATAAATTCGCTCGTCGATCAAATCAATAAATTCAACTACACTCTTCAAAAATAAACAAAGAAACGCTACGCTACGCTATTTTCGAAGAATTTATTGCGTTAGTTTAAGAGCAATTATTTCATGCAATTTCAATGGCAAGAGGTGAAAATTCACACGTCTATAGACAAAGAGTTCGCCAATACAACATCAGCCTTTATTGTTGTGTTCTTTTTATTTGCGTGCACAAGATGGCGTGAAAGTCCGTAGTTTGTATGAACACCATTGGCAACAATTACTGCTCAGATAAGTCGACGAAGTGGCTCTTGTAGAATTCTTCCCCACTCTTCCTGCAAATGCGTTGTTCAGTTGTGGGCGTTTCTGAGGCGTGTTTTGACGTTGAAGTACACGTCAATCCAGTTCATCCCATAGGTGTTCTATCGGGTTTAGATCTGGAAGGCCCTGGCAAGACATCGACGTTAGAATTGGCGAGGTAGCGGACCGTGACACGTGCTGTATGTGAAGTAGCGTTGTCATGCTGGGACGTCTCCCTCTGTAGGTCCATAATCGGAAGCATGTGAGGTGCAAGGACTTCGTTGATGTACCGATTTGCTGTCAAATTCCCCTGAAGCATCGCCAAATGAGATCTTTGGGTGCTGGATATCGAACCCCATACCATGACACTTCCTCCACCGAATCTGTTGACCTGTCGAATACAATTAGTTGGCAAAATGTTCATTTCTCCGACGGTAAACATGCTGTATTCCATATAAAGAAGAAATCGTGATTCATCACTGATCCAGACTAGCCTCCAAGGGAATAAGTTACAATTGCCGCGTTTTGTTTTGTTTTACAATCACACAAAGGTAACGTTTTGGAAATAAATAGTATATTTGCATTGATTTTGCCGAGTTTAATATTCTTAAAATCACATATGCGTTTCTTTTTTTTTGAAGAGTGTATTTATCAAAAGCCCACTGAGTAGATGTACGTTGCAATAAGGGATGACATAACGATCGTGAATGTCTGAGAAAAGTGTTTGTTTTTTCACCATCAGCTATGATCGCTGTTTCTGAAGCATTCTGTTGTATTTACACCGACACCACCAACTATGATCTCTGGTATCCTGTTGTATTTAATATTTCAGCATGCTCCCCAGTAAATGCTGCTCTGTATTGTGCTGGCGTGTCCCTGATCATTGCCGGAGTTGGGGCCATCACTGCAGCCGTGGCGATAAAACGCTGGCCTTCTCTCAGTGATCAAGCAGAGGACCCTGTCCAGGACCAAGTACAGGAGACAGAGAACGATGTCGAGGGCCGTGTACAAGAGGCAGAGGACCGTGTCGGACCGTGTCGAGGACCAAGTACAGGAGACAGAGAACCATGTCGAGGACCGTGTACAAGAGGCAGAGGACCGTGTCGAGGACCAAGTACAGGAGACAGAGGACCATGTCGAGGACCGTGCACAAGAGGCAAAGGACCGTGTCGAGAACTGTATACAGGAGGTAAAGCAACATGTGAGGGACCGTGTGGTCGAAGCAGAGGACAATCTCAAGAACCGTATGGACGAAGCAGAGACACCCTTATAACAGTAAACCAGTCTTGCTCGGGTTCATTGTTAAACGATAGAAATGATTGGACACAGTGTGCCATTGTAACTGTATCGGAGAAAGAAAGTTTGAACGGGTAACCTTGAAAAACGTAATGCGATGATTTCCCCTAAAGTTGATTCGACTGTAATGAAAATATCTCTCATTTGGGGACTGTAACCTGTCGATATATTGCTCAAAATTGTCGGAAATGGATTGTAAGTTGAGCTCTTGCATTCTTAACGATTATTCTAGATTTTTTAATGTTGTGTAATAATGTACATGTAGTCGAGGGCTACCACAGCATTTTGTACAGATAAACCACCTTGAATAACTCCACCAACGTCCCTTTGAACCTCTTGCTCTCGAAGAGTGAGTGAGTATGGATTAACGCCGCTTTTAGCAATATTCCAGCAATATCACGGCGGGTGACAACAGAAATGGGCTTCCCACAATGTACCCATGTGGGGAATGGAATCCGGGTCCTCGGAGTGACGAGCGAACACTTTAACCACCAGGCTACCCCACAGCCCCTGCTCTCGAAGAAATCCTTTTGACACATGCTAGTGGGAACTCCGTACTGGTCTACCGTACTGGTCGCGTACGGTAGACCTTTCTGTACTTGATACGTCATCTTGAATAAAGCATCTTTCTTTTCAACTGATAATTACTGTTGTCAATACTCTTGATATCACTTACAATGACAGTTCCGTTAGATTGAAAGAAAGAGTGTCTGGGTGTTGTCAACACTAGTACCCTTGATATCACATACAATGACAGTTCCGTTATATTGAAAGAAAGAGTGTCTGGGTGTTGTCAATACTAGTACTCTTGATATCACATACAATGACAGTTCCGTTATATTGAAAGAAAGAGTGTCTGGGTGTTGTCAGAAAGAAACGCAATCTGATGACCCGCACAGGAACATTTTAAAGCTTACATTTACCCCGGTATCAGTCTTTCATTTTGGAAAGAAAGTATTTTTATATTACTGTACAGGTTTCTATGGATTTGAACTATATCTATAGTTAACCATTAGGGGTAAGATTCTTGGTAATAAACATATGCAAAGTGTGGGATGGCCGATGATTCCACTAACGGTGAACATGCTTGCAATTTTCGCGAACACTTGAAGATCCGAATTAGAAATGGTTTTCAGCAACCAATGCTTGCTGTATGACTAGCAGAACAAACCCAGAACCAATCCCATAATAATAAGGACAAAACTGTTATACTCTTAAAGAAACTATAAAATGAATAAGGAATTTTAAGTGAGCAAACTGAACATACTTGACTCCATGAACACTGTATATGATGGTTGTATCAACCGTGGTCAACTAGTAATATCTTCCATTATCTTACCTCACACATAAATGTCGCTTTCTGATTGGTTGAACGCTCTTCTATTATTTTCAATGTACCCCGCTTACAAGCGAGTAACATTTCAATGTACCCCGCTGTCAATGGCAACTCATTTGGTACTTCGTGGTAGTAATTCTTTATCTCGAATAACATTGAATCACGTATGATGTACGGAAATTACCGATGTTTTGCGAATGCAAATCGATGGAAGGGAGATAACTCTAAATCTGGTTTTCTTGTCAGCAAAATCTAGCGATGGCTACAAAAAGATTTGTACCCGTGCTTCAAACAGTTCTAACTTAACATTAAGGTGTTCGGTAAGATAAATACGTTGTTCACTGGTCCCTCGGGGCCCATGGATTGATGTACCCTCGAAGGCGAAGGGGAACATAAACATAAACATAAACAAACATCGAGGGTACATCAACCCATGCCCCCCTCGTGACCAGTGAACAACTTATAATGCTTGTTTCCGGTCAAGAGAACGTTCACATGTTGGGTGTGTATTACTGGAGTAGTATACGTTACACCAGACATAGGCTGGTTTGTTGTTTAATCAGCTACATTCCAACTATATGGCAGCAGTTGGTAAATAATCAAGTCTGGACCAGACAATCCAGTGACTGGCATCATCAGCATCGATGTACGTAAGTCGACAAAAAGATGACATGTGTCAACCAAGTCAGCAAGACTCACCGGCAGATTATGTTTTTTCGCCACTTACGACAAGCATGAGTAGCTGAAATCAATTCCAATTCGGATCTTAACAGATATAGTTTCCCGGCACTGTAGCTCACCTGGATATGTTGTCAAGAGTTGTACATGTCAACAGAGTGGGTGAGTGAGTTAAAACGGTGTTCCAGTTGTAGTCTGTACTTATTATGTGAGGAAAGCATAAATAGATATGGGTCTGAGACGTGTACCATTTTGTGAATCCCAAGAACACAGGCCAAGCCAAGCAGCATGTCTCCATTCATCATGTATGTCACACAAGCAAACAGCACTAATATCTCAGAAATAGCTTCTTAGCTGACCATCTCACATGCATTCCAGATGGACCTGACCAGATACAGTTTGACGGCACAAATGACAAGCTGGAGGTAGAAGAAGGGAAACCTGCAGCTGTGAGATGTTCTGCTGACTGTAACCCTGCCTGTACTGTAACCTGGTGGGACATCTCCAGACAGACGGTGATTACAGGACAGGGGGAGGCTGTGTTGTCTATACCAGCTGTAGATGTATCTGTGTTTGGACTGTACACGTGTCACGTCAACAACAGCCATGGGAGAGCATCACGGAACCTGACGCTGGAGGTCTCCTGTAAGTCAACACTTCAGTATAAGAATCTGTTATATACAACCTATTTTTGGGGATGACGCCATTTCGTACACCTGATCGTGGTGGGTGGAACACCTGCTAGAACACCTGCTGGAACACCTGCTAGAACACTAAAAGTAATGGCACCCAAAGATTTAAACTAACGAAAGACCTTTTAGATGTCACTCAAAGATTCAAAATAATTAACCATTTGAAACGGCAATATTGATAAAGAATTCAATTTTCACTATAATCAGTTTCTCCAAAAATCCCAAATGTGTCAGTTAATTCGAAAAAAATCAATTAGAAACCTGCTCCTGAAACTCTATTTATATGAGGAATATAATTTGACACTTTTCGTTACATATATCCGTTTCTTCACCCTGCACAAATGAGAACACTGATGTTACCGACATTGCATGTCCTCCTGTGGAGCTGATGTTGACAATGACGTTGTTGTTGGGGATGTACAGCGTACCTCATCAATAACTTACAAAGCGGAAAGGTTATTTCAGATGAACATCGCAAGTGTCAACCCATTTAATATGTTTTGAATCGGGTTAAAACCTCCCGAAGAGGCTTGATGTTACATGATTACACCCGTATGCATACTGAACTGAATATTGTCCATAGTAAGTGTTTCAGCACGTGGAGTTACTGAATCTGGTGTCGTTCCGTCGTATGTTTGTTATGGTAGAATGGAGATAAACACACTGTGTTGGAAAATCAGAGCTATATAACGAAATTATTAGCTCTACATTTTTTATTTAAAGCCTCACGCTACGCATTCGGTTTTAAATCAAACATAAAAATTAAATTAAAATCAAATTAAATAAATCTGATTTCCCAAAACAGAATGTTTTTTCTCCTAAGTTTTATCAGCTTGGTTTCGTATCACAGGGAAGACGAAAACGACGGAAGCTACCAGGAAATAGAAGGTTGGTGTCTAAAGGTTAACTACAAGCACGATGTGTAACGGCTGTGAAACTCAAACTGTGAGTGTATGGTACTGATATGTCGATTGAATGTAGCTCGAACTATCTCCCGTCTGAAGCCTAGAAGCCTGGAATAGGAGTCGTGTTTAAAACCCATATACATTGGATATGAATCAAACAGTCAATGTTACGTTGCAATGTTTTAAGCAAAGAGAAAACCAAACCCGATTATAGAATTTGAAATACCCATCATAGATTAGGTAATATAATATAAACATTCCTATGTCAAATTCTTTATAATCTAAACGTCATGATACTTATTACACTTTTCAATGTTCATTTAACATGACCAGGGTTTGATGATATGCCATGTTAGAGAAACACATCCACTGGCCTGGACAGCTGTAACGGTCATACTTCAAGTCAAACATCAAGGATGATTCTTCTTCCTTCATTCCTTCCTTTATTGCGTTTTGCGATGTAGACAGGACTCTGTTAGCGTATGAAGAATCGTAGTTTCTTTGAAAAGTTGTCCTAGAAAAAATACTATTTTCTCAGTTTTAAAAAAATTCTTAGTTGGCCATTATTGATGTCCTAAATACAGTCAGTGTGTAATAGGAACGAGGAAATATGTCATACCTCACGGAAGATTCTTCCTCCATTGTTCATTGCTTGCTTTAGCCCAGCGGATAAGTGCAGTTTTTTCACTGAATTGTGCACTTTGTGTTACAAGCATGAAATTTGGCATGATTGTAGCTTATACACTTCTTATTAAAAAAAGATCGAGAGGCCTTTTCCATAATTTGGGGGGGTTAAGTGAACATTTTCTCTACTATTTTCGTCATAACCTCTTTTAAAATCCTCCAATTCTCATAAGTCACATATCAAATTGTAGGAAATTCATAGCTGACCATTTTCCGTCTATACATGTCTTAAATCTTTGACGGTTAGGTCTCCGAAAGTCAATTTATACCATGACTACCCGAAAATGGGAAAATTGGTGGATCTTTCAAAATGGCCGCCATATAGACTACATCAGTAAAATAAGTATGAGATCATCCCATGATCTAACATATTTTGATCAGTTCTTTGCAAATTCAATATGAGAAGACTCGCAGATTTTTGCCATTTTTCATTTTTGGAGGGAAAAAGTGGGGAAAAATTGAATTTTCAAAACAATGCTATTTTAACTCAATCTTAAATCCTCATAAATTATGTATATAGAATATTGTGAGGACAGATGAAAGTTTATTTGAAGGAATATATCATTAGATTTACTTACATGTATAATGTATGAGCTTGGTTATCTATAGATCATCTATACAAAACATATCAAAATCAACGCATACATATTTCATTTCAACATCAATCTCAAAGTAGCTGTCTCATCAATCTGTGGAAGGTTATAAAAAATCTGCGAGGCCTCTCGATCTTTTTTAATAAAAAGGGTATAAGCTACAATCATGCCAAATTTCATGCTTGTAACACAAAGTGCACAATTTGATCACTTATCCGCTGGGCTAATACATGTAACTGCTAACCAAGAAATCTATGTGGATTCTAACGACGTCATTTCTTTGTGGTCACGACTGGGGAGTTGTATTTCCAAAATGCATGTTAGAGTCACCGTGTCGACTTTACGACATCAAAACGTTCGTCGATACTGGCAGCCATCACAAAGGCAGGCCATGTTTATATGTTCAGTAACATAAGACGTGCGTCGATAGGAGCCTTCTGATTGGTCAAACTCTGTCACATGTAGGTTTGCAGACTGTTAAAAGTCGTCAGTGTGAAGTCTTAAGACAGTGCGTAGTTAATCGAACGTAGGAGATGATGTCAACTGCGTATATGTTGTCAGGATACGTCGTGACCAGTGTTCCACTTCTCATCTTGTTCATAACGTCCTTCACGCATGCACAAGAAGGTGGACCTGGCAAACCTAAATCTCCTCCTCGGCCGGCAGGTAGGTTGACATTAAGATACACATGCCGCCGATCCAGACCCAGGTAGGATAACATTAAGATACACCTGTCGCCCATACAGACC